TCAAATAAGATTCAGGTCTCCTTTTGTTTACTGTTTTCCATATTGACATATTTTGTACCAAAAGAAAAATATACAGTGGGGGTTTTTTCATAAAAACCTAAAAACAAACATTGCAGAAAATGGTAGAAATACCTGATCAAACAACAAAGGTGGACGTTGGAATCTTTTGGATCTTGATCGATGTTAAATAGCACTAGTTCTAAAATACCAAAGTGTCCCATGCTGTTTCCTTGTTGCCATTTTGTAGTTTTTTCTATGTGTTATTTATTTAATGATTCCACAGAATTGGAACAGGTGTCACAGCTTCAGATGCTCCTGTTTCAGCCTGTGACCATTCTGTGTGATTGCCAATGCCAAATCCTTTTTCTGAGACCCAAGTACATGCACTAAAGCTTTGCTTACAGTGAAGTGATTCTTGTCTGAAATCTGTATCTGTTTTGAGTGAAAATCACTTAATGGTTCTGAATGGGACATGACGGCAAAAGCTGTTACCCTGCAGCAAATGTCAGTGATGATCAACACGGGTTGATTTAGACGCTGCATGTGTTTTACAGAGTATTCTAGTGGGAAGCCTAATGCCTGTTTCATTCATCTTCTCATTACTGCAGCCTTCCATATTCTCAGAGAAATACTGGCTACCATTGGTTTTCTACAGTTGATGCTTTGGTATTTTTTTAATCTCTTTGCTACAACTCATTTTTGTATGTCTCCTATTGTCTACTTCTTGTGATGTTTGTGCGCGAGGAGCTATCAAATACTTTTTACCCTTCCTGTAATGTAGACCCTATTAGGCCTAACTTCAGTGTTGTGCAAACTACAGTTGCCTTTAAACCATAAAGCAAAACTAGTTTGTATTACTTGTTTTGACTGGTTTTGATTTGGAACAGGGACCTAATGGGAACTTCAGTAAGACAACCTTATTCTTTTTTTCTTTTCTTTTTAAAAAGCACTAGTGGAAGTTTGGAAAAGTGGCATACATGTATAGCCTTTAGATTGTAAAGATTTCTGATTGTAGTTGCAATGAAAACACAGTGTTTGAGTGTGTCTGTACAGAATTCTCAGTCTTTGAAATTGCTTTCAATTAAAAAACTGGAGGAAATACTATGAAATCATGTTTTGGAGCCGTGTCAATGATCACACATGTCAGACAAAAGACCAAAAATTGTCTTACATGACCTAAAATTATCTGTGCAACAGAACACATTTTCTGGCTTCTGTTGAGCTTCAGCTTCTTGCAGTCCCAGGGTTTAACTTTTATACACGAGCTCTCATACCGTACTGTGCATGTTGACTACCTGTTGCAAGTCAGGGTGAGGTAGATGACACTATTTCACCTGTGTTTTCATGACAATCCTGTGCTTGAGCAACTCTTTCAGAAATGCAGTTATGTGTAGGAACTCCACTGTCCCAGACACAGTGATGTGCTAGCTAGAAGTCCTTTCACGTATAGCTGTCGTGTAGAACTTTGGGAATTATTTTGTGTTT